TAATAGTACAGTATAAAGTTGTTTTTTTCTCCTTTTAATGTAAACTAAACTCAGTGGTGCGACCGCCCATAGAGGGCCAAGGCCTACTGTGCCCATCTCAGTTTTCTTGACCTTTGGTTTTGGGATGCAGGAGCAGATGTTCCGGTCAGGTGGTCAGTCGAGCGTGGAACCCCCAGTGTTTAGTTCCCAAGCATGCTTGGTACTCATTTATTTACCCACTGAAGGGATAAAAGGCTGAGTTTAACCTTGCCTAGCCCGAGGATCGAACCCAGGACCTATGGCACGAGACCACAAAGCGCTACCACTCGGCCACCGGGCATCTCCTTTTAATGTATAGTTAACATATTTTTCAATCGATTTTTTATTCTATATAAAAATAATGAAACTTTTCTGATTTTTTTTTTTTAATTCCAGGATTTCTAAAATTATTAGATTTAAGGAAATATTGCTTAAGTATGAGTTCTGTTTACAGTGTTGTTAATATACATTGCACAGTTAAAATTAAAATAAGTGATTTTTCAACAAACTTTTACAAGATGGAAAATGTTATAAAACACATATATCCACCTATTCTAACAAGAAATAGAAGAGTTCAAGAAACTAACAAGAAATAGTTTAAAGAAGCTATTTAATCGAAAAATAATGTTTATAATATTCAGATTATAACTAAAGTAATTTTCAGACAATAAAATGACTTAACTAACATAAAATAACTTAAAATTATATCCAATTCGAAAAATTTACACCCGATACTAAAAATTTTATATCTGGCCCCAAAGTGAAAAATTTCAAATTAATTATCTATCATAATTTACAAGTTAAGAAGTGTATAGAATCTTTATTGTAATGTCAGCTTTAAATTCAGTCAAGTTTACATTTAAATTACAAACACATTCACAGAGTTTAGACTGTTAAAGGTTAATCCTTTTTTGTTTTCGTCTGATCTACATCCAACAACAACAATTTAATATATTTAATTTGAACTTATTATAATCATTTTTATAAAGCAAATTGTTTTGGATAGGTTATGTTTTATTAATACTTGACATAAAACTTCTGTGATTATAAACTTGTTTTATGAGTGAGTTTTTGTGAGAAATTTATGTTAATTTTTAACCATGGAATTGAACTGTTGTAAAAACAAAAACAATTAACTAATCTAAACTAAAAAAACCATGTGGTTAGATTGGAATAATATTTTAATTTCAAATAAGGAAAAAAAAGAATAAGGTTTAAAGAATTTTATCTAGCTTTTTTCTATAGAATATGCAACAAAAAATGTGCAAATTTTGTGTCTGCAATATTAATTTTTGAATATTGAATATCTCTTAAAATAATAATGCTAATTTAAAACAAACAACAAACATCTGACTTTAGATATTGGTTTAAAGAAAACATGATGTTAAAGAAATTTTTATTAGCAGCCCAGTTTGAATAAAATACAGTATAAAATGGCTTTATATTGAAATATAAAAATTTATTGACTGCAATTATTCTCATTTGCTTACAGAAAATATATTAAACACTTATCTAAGGTTTTTTGGGTCACTCTGTATTTGCCATTTGGTACACTTTGTGCAAAAACTACTAAAAGTAACAAATCAAAACATTTTTTCAATAAAATCAATATATTCTACAAGCTAAATATATTTCCATCTCCTCATCCATCTTTTTTTTTAAAAAATTAATGTTCCAAAACATTAAAAATTTAAAAAATGTTAAAATTTTTGTTAAAATAAATTTAGTCTAATTATTTTTTCAAGATGATATATTAAAAAAATAATATTTTAAATAAAATACTTTATAATATTGACACTTTTCTTGTACCCATCCTACACTTTATAGGGAAAAAAACACACTAACCTGGAAATGTTAAGATTTTTACCTGGAAAAATCAGGGAAATTTGATACCTGATTTGAGTGGCCACCCTGTTTACGAACAGTGTGAATAAGTTTATTTTAAAATTTTGAAATATTCCAATGTTTTTCTATGACCTGACATTGAATTTTTATGTCTTTATCATAAGTTCTCACTGTAGAATATTCCTACAATATTTCATTAGAGTTTGAAAAACTTATAAGAATGGCAAAATGGCTCAGACCATGAACTGAAACTCAGTGCAAAATATCTGCTTGTTAAAAAACACAATTGTTTGCAGATGTAATCATCCTTCGTGATTGATTTAATGCAGAGTTTAATAACCTAAGATTTGAAAGTTAATGATTGGCTATCCAAAAGAATAATCAAAGTAACAAAATCTATTCAATGAGTCTATTACATACACAAAGTAACAAAAACAAATGTTACAAATTGATTCTCATTCCAAAAGTAAAGGAAGAATCACTAGCATGCTTTGAGGTCATGAAACTAATTTTACTTAAAGAGGACAAATGTTTATGTTACAGGAACTGAAAAGCTTTGTAAGAAATATTTAAGATTCAAATTTTGAAAAGCCCTAATTTTACTATTGTATTTTCAAAAAATTTTATATTCAGATAGTATTCACAACTATGCAATTTGTTTTTATTAACACTCAGTGTTGTAGTTTGGAAAAAATAATTGGTGGAAATCACCTTTCTGTAGGGCATGTGTCATAGTTGACAGATTTTTATTGACTCCGATATCGTTCAGTTTAAATTATTTGGCCAGCTTTAATTATCAAAAGAAAAAATTTATTTTAAAAAAGAGGATTTTCTCCTAATTTGCATTATTTTTTGTCTTTGATGCATTCATCAAAAAGGTTATTGATGAAATAATTGCATAATATAATAAACAAAAAAGTTCAATTAAATGAGTGAGTAAGCAATTTTTCATTAACAGTCAGAAAGTTTTATGCTCTATTTATTGTTTCAACACAATGCTTTGATAGCAAGAAGATAAAAAATGTAAAAATATGTGTGCGCAGAGGCATACAGATATGTTTTGTTAGTGTGTAACACTAAGAAAGGTTTACATTTGTAATAACTTATGTAACTTACTTTAAAACTGTCTTTATTGAAATAAAGATTGAGCGAACTCTATAAGCCTCTTTTTTTATTGCTAGAACATAATTATTTGCCCACAGATTGGTTTCCTTGTTTGCCAGATTATAAAATGTGTAAAACAGAGATATAAAAAAATATAATCTCATTTAATTTTCTCAATTTTACAAACCACATTAAATAAATTAAAAGCAACTTTATATAAAGATTTTGTTCTCATTAAATACTGGTAAATGCAATTTTAATATTTACTTTAATTACTTATCTTTTCATTTAAATCAAAAATTTTAAATACAATAAGCATTTCCAAAATTACATTTTTTTACAGGACTATTCTCAATTTGTGTGTTTACAGACAAACCCGAAAATTGCACCAATCAATTTTGAAACTTTACTTGCTTTTCTGAACCTGATTGGTATAATTAGCCTTTCGGTCAACGTAAAAAAATTTATTCTTGAATAAAAAAGAAATTTTTATTTTACTTCATAAAAAATTTAATAAAAAAGTAAAAAAAAAGAGAATGAACAAGAAACAAATTGGTTTGAAATCTTTTTAAAATATTAATTTTTTTTTACTACAGCAAACCAAAGATTTCGGGGATCAGCGTTGCCCCCAACTTCAGCTCTGTTAAAAGAAAAATTTAACAAATAAAAAGAAAGTAAGACATAGGAATAATTTTCGTTGGCAGTTGATACAAATGATGGTCTTTTCATAAACTAAGACCATCTAATATTAGTAAATGTGTGCCTTGTAAAATGCAAAATTAGTAGTTTTCATTTTAATTTTGTTGTCTAAATAAATAAGGACTACAAGTTGATTAACTACAACTAAAAAGAATAATCATAATAATAAATAAATAAATAAAAATAAATAAATAAAATAATATAAATAAGTAAAAATAATAAATAAATAAAAATAATAAATAAATAAAAATAATAAATAAATAAAAATAATAAATAAATAAAAATAATAAATAAAATTGCAATTGCTATCCCATCCTTTAATTTTATTCAAGTATCTGTTTAATTCTTACTGTAAAGTTTAACATTATGTAAATTATTATATAATTAATTTCTTATATAATTAATTTCTTATATAACTGTATTTACAAATAATTTCTTATAGTCCCAATGAAAACATTTATAAGGGGCAATTTTAGTAGCAATTTCAAGGGGCAATTTTAATAATTCTTTTTATATTTTTCATTCTGTTTCAATGACAGAATTTCTGTAGACTTTCGTTTTGTAGTTTGTTTATGATTCAAAATTTTATCCCAAGACAAATGTAAATCAAAGAGGAAATAGTATTTTAAATATTTTTTTCTTTAAAGTCTAATGAGCCACATTTGTCTGTTCTAATAATAGAATTGTTCTAATAATAGAAAATAATGTCTATATTCAGAATCTTTTGCAGCAACTAAACTAAAAGTTTAGTGTAAAAGCATAAATTTAACCTCTAAAAACTTAATTTTTAATTCTTAAGTTTGTCCCAAAAGTAATTTGCACCAATAGCTTGTAAGATATTGATAATGTATAAGTGAAAATAATTCTAATAAGTATGTTATTTATGAAAGAGGACTTTTTCTGATAAATATATTATTACATAGATGGCTAAAACTATGTGTATTATAAAATAAAAAGTATTACAATGGAGAACTTAGAAGTGGACAAAAGAACTTAATTTGTTAAGTTAAAGTATCAAAGGAGTTAAATTTTTAAATTTATTTATTTCTATTAATTTTAATACCTTATGAAATTTAATACCTTACATTCATTATATAGATTGTTTCATACATGATATAATATTTCTTGCAATTAAATAATTGTTCTTTTGATTTCTGTATTTTCAATTAGAAATTAAAATGTTTTACCATTTCAAAATGGTTTTTGTAATCATGAATAATATTAACTATTAATTATTATTAGCTTATTATTATAACTTATTATTATTAGCCGTTATTTACTAATTAATTTATTTTTGCTTTTTGTGTTTAAGTTTATTTAACTTTTCTTTTCAGAGTACCACGTCTAGCTACAAACCACCTAGAAGATATCCCAATCGAGATTCTTTATTAAACAGGCATAGAGATCTAGCACAAGAGAATAAAAGACTTCTTGCCTCCACTGTAACTCGAAACTCATCACTGGCACCTCTACTCAGAGATGGAGCAGGCTTAGGAGGAATCTTAGGAGACATACCGGATTATTACACTGACGGTGGGGAATCAATTTTTACAGGCAAGATTTAATAGATAGTGTTAGCTTGAAAGGACCACATTTTGGTATTGAGCATGTTTTCTAAGCTGCACAGTGCATGTTGCCTGAGGTATTATCATTATCATTTTGAAAATTCTTTTGTTGCATGGTATGTTTTATTTTGATACCTGATTTTTAATACAGTTTTACTGTAATTTCTCTGTGGCAAAATAATGAACCAAATTATCCGCTTAACAGTGATAATGTTTTTATATAGATCTTGCATTGAAAATGTATTTAAATTTTTCTTGAATTCATTTAAATCTGTGGCAAAGCATCATCTTTCAAAACATTTTTGTAATTATTTTTTTGCGAAAGAATTGATATATTAACAAAAATATACATTTCAAATTATACAAGTGCAGATGAACTAAACAAATATAAAAAATGTAAATTACATGAGTTTTCATTTCTTTTCTTTTATCATTTGCATTTAGAAAATGTAAAATGCACTCATTGGAGACATGTTTTCAAGTTCCATAATTGAGGAAGGTAAAAAAGATAACTATATTCAGTAACAGAATTAAACATTGAATAATTCGAAGACTTGTATAAAATAAACTGATTTTCCTAATATTCAATCATAATTTCAGTATATATGTTCTTACCTTTACCCCTTTTAATGATGAGTATTAATTCCAGTAAGCCAGAATTAAATAAAAGTTGTATTGAAATATGAAGAGAGATTAAATTAAACTTAAATACAATATTTTAAGAGTTATACTTTAAAATAATTAACTTTAAAATAATATGCAATATAACACTTTCACTAAGCAAAAAATTTGTTTAATTTGATGGTTATTTTAACTAATGTAATTAACATAGGACTTTCCTAAAGTAAAAAATATTATTCAGCTTTCTTTATTGAGTAACACCCTGCACACTTGTTTGAGGCATGTTGGAAGGGTAAGGGGGGTACCACATTTTCTGCTTTTTTTCTTAGATGACAAAGTGTAAATTTTTTCTAGTTTGTGTTAAAATTAATTTCACTAAGGAATAGTTTTCATTTCAATGGGTAAATTAAAGCAATTCTTTTGACTTTATTTGGAAATACTAATTTTCTAATAAATAATATGATTCCAATAAGGGATGCATTCAATTATCTAAAATATGTTATTAAAGAACTATCTGTTTTTAATCAACTGTTTCAAAATAAAGTTACATTTTAGTGCCATATGTATTAATGTAAATATAATAATAATAATTATTTTGTTTTTATTTGATCATGAAGTATAGATACTTATAAATTGTTTTAAGCAGTAAGTTAATTACATATAATGTTGATTTTATATCTCTGGTTATAAAATTATTAGTACATATGCTAAAATATTCTTCCCTAGTTGAATATTTTACCAGCAATATGTCTTTTTTTAATTACATGATTTTCCAAACATACCTGTTTCTTGATTATGTTTATATTTATCTAAAGCACAGCTGTGGAGTTAATAGTTGAATAGTTGAACTAGTCAATCAATAAAATGTCTTTGAGAGCTTGACTCAGACTTACATTCAATTGAAATTTCCCCCAAATTCTCGGTAAATATTAAAATTTTTTTCCAAGTAAATATTAATTTCAAAGTTATTAATCACAATTAGAGTTAAAGCAGGCGTATACTGGGTCGCTTAGGAGGGCAGGGGACAGCGTAGGAAAAGGGTGCGTGTACAATATTTTAAATACACACAATATCTAAAAAATAATAGCATATAAGCCAACACCTCATCTCTGAACTAGAGAAACACAACTTCACAAAGTTTACCAAATATTATTTCACAGTCAAGGGAGTTTAGTAAGTCCTTCTCACTTTGAATAAGGATTATTGGTTCAAAGTTTTCTTTTTTACTTGTAAATTTTTAGCTAAGCTGAGTTTTAATGTTCTACGTTAGTTTTATTCCTATTGTTTTAAGGAGCAAGTCTCTCCTTTTTATTTAATTTAATGCAATGAACTATATTGTGAAGGTATTTGTAAAGGATATCTGATTTTATTATCTATCTTTAAAAAAAAAGATTTAAATTAAGCTTAGATTAATGGGAAATGATGGAAACATAAGATTAACGTGAAACTTTTCTTTTACTCAACTTAGTCGTTTTTTTTTTATTCTATGCCTTCTCAATATTGTACTGAAATTCATGCAGTTGCTTTAATAAATTGACTCAAAAAGATACTACTGAGCATGGAAATTAAAATATTTTTTAAATTTTGGATCTAATGCATGCTTGTAGATATATTGGATCAATAATAAAAAAGATATTAATTTCAATTTGCCTTAGTATTTTATATTGAGCTTCGATGCTTAAAAAGGCAATTTTTTTCCCTCCTTCAAGCAAAACATTTTTTATTGTGTTACTATTGCATGCTGTTTTAAGCGGGAACATCAATGTGAGATTCTTAAAAGATCAATCTTTTTTTTATTTTTACATTACTCAATGATATTCATATTCTGGAATATTTCCCCAGAGTCTTAATAGAAGCTCATATATATATGACTAAAATACAATATATTTTGTAATGTAATGTAAATGAATAGAATAGGTCTTTGTAAATTTTAATTGACTTTTTTCCTTTAAATAATGTTTTTCTTATTTGCAGACATCTTAACTTCAGCTTTCATTTAATTTGCTTCAATTTTAGCAATATCTACATTGCTAATATAGGTTTCAATATTCTAGAAGGCTTTGAGTACATTTATAGTTTTCGATTGTTTAAACAGTTAAGTCAGAAAATGCATCATATGTATTGTTTAAATAATATGCTTTTAGACATTTCTTATTTAACTTTCTGAATTTATGTTCAATTTCTTTCTGATGAAAATCTTTGATCTAGATTTAAATGAATTCATTTTTGTAAAATTAAAACATTACCTGGAGAGCAAAATATCTTATTGTTATGGTCATTTTGAAAATAATTGTTTTTATCCATTTGGTATAGCAATGGAAAATAAAATATATAAATCATAGACATGGTGATAAGTCTGTAATTTAATTTGAGAAGTGAAATGTGATTTTTTTTCATTGAAATTCTTAACTTGTTCAGTAATTTCAAAATAATGATATTTATTTTTATTGTACTTGTTATGTTACAAGTAAATTTAATAAAAAAACAAGCTTTTCTTATTTGGGTAATCACAGTAGCATTCTTTTTATGTAATTCACCACACACTCTATAATATTTTTCAATTATTTTCTAGAGGTAACTGTACAGTTTTTGAATGCTCAAGTAAGAAGTTTGAAAGAAGAATTAGAAACATTAATACGAGAATGTGTTGATAAGGTACTACATGAATTAATATGTTTTAAAATAATAGTGACTAGTTTTCTTGTTTAGGTAGTTTCTTTATATAGATTTATAGAGTGTAGGCCAAATTTTCGATATGAATATAATTTTTTTCAATCTACAAAAAAAAGTAAGTTAAAATTATATGCCATTTTCAAGTAAATGGTGCAGTTATGAATTTTTTTGGAAAAACATTACTTCTTTTGCAAATTTTATTTATATAGTGTAAAACTTTTTAAATTTCTAATGTGATGGTGAAACTATAGTTGTCGTTTGGCATAGCTTGTTAAAAAAGTGCTTGTAACATAAAATTTTAAAATAGTGTTGAACTTTTATAGATTTGTGTGTTGACATAGTGCTTTGAAGACAAATGTTTTAAACAATGTCTTTTATACACTTTTTTGTTACCTCTTGATTAATGAGAGGTTATGGTGCTAATTCAATTTTTAATCGTAGTTACATATTTTTAATAATATTATTAGTAGTTTAATGTGTGCACAATCGAAAAAGGTATCAAATGAAATGCCACAAATTTTTTGAGAATTTCGATTTTCTAAAAATCCTTGTGCTCTATTGTGCCAGATAATACAATTACAGTACAATAATGAAAACAGTATAACAATAAAAAGTATGGTCTTACAGTACAGCTATCGAAAACAATAAAATAAGTTTAGTCATATTTAGAAGAAAATACCAAGATTGATCCTGTTGAAATATTTCAGTATATTGAAGAAATTTATTATTTTTTTCTATTTTTAATACTTTTGGTCTCCATTAAAATTTGTGTTTAGATGATAAATCTCAAACAATTTAATTAATCATTCTTCTTCAAGAATGTCTAAAGAATTGTAAAGCTTTAGTACCAAGCCAAGAAATCTACCAAGAAATTATATGCATTCTGCCAAAATTGTCAGCTACACAGAGATCAAAATTAAACTAAATTTTTTTGAGTTTTAAAGATTTTAGAGTAAAAAGCGTTTTGGAGAAAACATAAAAGAAACTTCTTGAAAAACATATTTCTCTGTAACTGAATTCTAATTTCTTTGGTGCAGAATCTGGGGCTAATGTGCATAGATTCATTAATTCTTTTGGCACAAACTATAATATTTTGTTTTGTTAGTGCAAGCTAAAGTATTTAGTTTTATCAGTGCAAATTATAGTGTTCAAAAGTGCATGTTTTTTTAATTACTGTTAATGCAAAATCACCAGATAAATTTTAGTTGTCATAAAATATGTATGTTTTAACCTTTGTAAAAATGTTTAGTAAAAATTTATTGGGTGATCAAAATGATTTAAAACATTTCTTTTGTTTAATATTGCATTTTTTAACACGGTAGTTTTTGCTTTATTTTCTACTTACATTATCTTGATAGGTTATTTGATATTAAACAATTTTACCTGGTGAAATACAGGTAATTTATACAGCTGTAATTTATTGAGTTTACAAAATATTGAGTCAAATCTTTCTGAAAAAGCATACCAATTATTATTTTTGATTTTCTCTAAATCTTTCTGATAAAAACTTAGTTTTGAGGAATAAGCTGTATTCATATATCAAGTTAACAGAAGGTTTTATGCATGTAGTTATCAGAAAAAATTGAGGTATGCCTCTTTGTACGCTGAACTATTATTATTAAAATATAACATGTTTACTGTTAATAATATTTATTTAAAAAGTTTACTAATTGAATCATTGTTCATAGTAGATAATTTGTCTTAAATATTATTTTCTGTTAATTATCAGTGTTAATTTTATTGTGATTCAAGGATGAAATGATATTATTGCTGGAACAACGATTGAAAGAAACTGAAATTGACAGAACAAAACTTCAGAGGGAAAACTCTAACAAAGAACAACAAATTGAAAAATTACAGAAAACTTTAGATGAAACAAAGGAAAAATGTGATAGAATAAAAAAGGAGCTAAGTTTTGTTAATAAGGTAATGTAAATAGATGATAATAGGTAATATTAAACATATTTTAATGTTCAATAATTTTAGTGTCTTAGAACTTGTGATATTTGTTTATTTGTTGCATCTCATATTTGACTCAATTGTTTTATTTCTAAATCTAACTTCATTAATTAATTTAAAAATTTATTTTAATTGGAATTTTGTATGTATTCAGATACAAAATATGCACACACAGTTCACATACATGCAGCTGTTTCTATTTAAATTTCATTTGCTTTGAATGTAAATTTCATCATAATGTCTCTAAAAATTATTAAACTTTTTTAATTATTATACAATTTCATGAAGATTGAAACATTTTTAATACACCTAATATGAATCTTTTAAATAATGAAGATGTTAAAATATTACAGATTTGTTATATTTCGAAATCTGTTACAGTCTCAATAAAACTTTAAATATATATTTTTTAAAAAGTCTATTATCAAAATTTTCATGTAGTCATATGTGGGTTAAGTTATGTGTGGGATAATACATCTTTTCGAAAATGATTTTGAGGTAGCAATTGTTCAGTGTCACCTTTAATTTCTCCGGAATTGCAGAAATTGCTCATCTGTCATGCAATTTACTTTCCTACTGATACTATTTTCTTTTTGCTTCTTTTTTGGAGTGTTTTAAAGTTAAAGTTTTAAATTAATATAAAATTATAGGTTATGCCCACATTGCTACCTCAATTGAGGCTATAAAAATTTGTATCTCTAGAATATAGCCACATTTATGGCAAAAAAAGGATCAAAAATTTTCTTAGAAAAATACAACTATGCAATGAAGAAAAGGTTGTTCTGATGGCGCATTTGGTTAAGGTGTCACACTGCTGGTTAGAGAGTTTGGGATAGTGAGCTTAATCCTGACAGCAGACTAAACAACCAGCATTTATACACAGCAAGGTGCTTGTTAAATCTATTGTGGCTAAAAGTCCTTTGGTTGGTTATGGTGTGGATGTTTAGATAAATGGATACCTTCTCACGCACTATCCCTGTCGTCTGACCAGAATCAAAATTGAATGACATTCCTACCACAGGTTATGTTTGATCTTATAAGACAGAGTCTAAAAACGGGTCTAGGTGCTTAGCCATGGTTGGATGATGTGCAACAAAAAAAGGAGGGAAATTATTTGAGCATAATTATTTCCATACATAATTCCAACCTGTCTCTATAAAATAAAAGTTTTAGTAACATCTTAAAAAATAAACTTAATATGCTGATCATTGTTATTTCTCTCTAATATTTTTGAATAGCAAAGCACAACTAAATTTTATATTCTTAGCATTTTTTCACATACTTTGATAATCTAATCTCTTATAGATTAGGACATGAAGTTCCCTCTTGCTTTTTTAATTCATTAATTTGATCTTATAATTCTTTGGGCTCTAACTTATATAGTCCTATTCTAGGTTATGTTTGATATTGTAAAAGCTAGTAACACTGGTAACTGGTAGGAGCTAGTAGCTCATAACACTTAAACATTAGCTTTCTTCTAAGTATTTTTAATTACAATTGGTGCAATTAACTTAATCAAATAATGTCCAATTTTAAATTATATTATTAATTTATTTACGGATTAATCTAAATTTATTACATAAGTTCCTTTAATTTATGAAATAAGTACTGTTTTTTATTCATTATGATTTCTATGTTATTTGTATTTTCAACAATGTATTGTTAACCAAATAATATCAATTTAATACAATAGATGATCTATATAATACAATTTTCTATAAATGGAAGCAACTTTACAAGCTCTAAAACAAATCTAAATTCATAAAATTGTTAGATCTTTTTTTTAATGTCCTTGATAATAAAATTTTTTTCTGGATATAATAAATCTATAAGGGGATATCTTTCTGGTTTAGAGTATTTTTATTTAAAAATTGTTTTAAGGTATTAATATTAATCTTTGCCAGATATATGTTTGCGTGTTTCATAGCTGAATTTAATGATACGTGAAATTATCTATATCCAGGGTATCTGCTCACCTGGAAAGTCATGAAAAATCGTTTGGAAAGTCATGGATTTAGGTCGCCGAAAATTCCAATTTTTAAAATGAAATTCCAAATATCTGAATTTGTAGCAAAATCCCCATTCATAGTCTTATTTTATTAAAATATAAAATGTTTTTATCATGCTCTTTTTCAAAAAATGAAAGAAAAAACATCATTACTTGAGCAAATTATCTTTTAAACTTCTATGATTTCAGAATTTTTGTTATTGTTTATTTATTTATTTTTATTTTATCAATTTAAAGTTCTAGCTGAAGCAAGCCAGTCATTGGCTAATTTTTTTAAATTCTGTAATAAGAACAGAAAAATCAAGAGTCTATCTTTCCTTTTCTATGAACAAGAAAAGTATAGAAATATAATTCTGTAGAAAAAAAAATGCCTGAATAGCCCCAACAACACTTTTTCTGCGAACAAAAATAAGTTATGAATCATTATGCAGTGTAAGATTAATTAAAAAACTGAATTTATTGCAAAATTTTCTTTTAACAAATTATTTATATTAGGAAACTGATATCCTGAAACAAGGCCAGCGGCAGGCAGCATCATTAAAATCCAGTTTAGAGGCAAAGCTTACTCGTGCTTCTGAAGAAAACGAAAGAAATAAAAATGAAATTCGTCAATTGAAACAAGCTAATAAGGTAATTGTATTTTTCTATTATTATGTAAAATCCTTTTTAGTATGAATTACTTTTTCTTTTGTGCTGCATGGGCTGCTCTCATTTATGTGGTTTCATAGACATCTAGATATGAGGTTTTATAGATATTTTTATTGTAAGAACAAGCAAAGATAAAACTTGAATATAAAATTGTTTAATATGCTAAATAACTAAATTTTTAAATCTGTTTGAAAATATTACAGTACCTAATTTGATGCTATTTTAGTGTTGTATTTTTTTAGCAAAGTGTCTTCTGATATTTTTGCCCATTTTTTAAATTTTTTTTTGCTGAATGTATTTTTCAGCTTGCTATATAACTTTAGTCGAGCATTGACATTGAGTTTTTGTGCATGCAGATATGAAGGCTTAGTGAGGACTTCAATTTTCTTTAGTTTAGTTACAAAGCAAATTAAATATTTTTTACAAGAATATAACTTATATTATTGAAGTGCTTAAATTAATACCATGATAAATTGAAAATTACTAAAATCTTAGAAATTGAAATTTTCTTCTGAGTATCATAAAAATAAAAAAAAACATTTTCTTGAAATGTCCCTGTTTTGTTATTTATTCCTTATAGCTATAAAGTATTGTATAATTTTCAATGTAAAAATTAAAGTAGTATTTAAGGCTACTTAGATTAAAATTTTAAAAAAGGAAAGCAGTCAAAACTTATGAACTTTATGAATCAAATAAGGAATATTAAAGCACAGTAGTCAATTTTTAAACTAAAATAAAATAAAATAAGATTAACCAAAATTTCAATCTACCAGAAAAGATTCCTCTTTATATTCCATACATTTTAGCCCTTTCATTGTTTTTTTTAGCATACTTCTTTATAGTTTATAAATAAAAAATCGCTTTCTAGGATTTAAAAGCATTGACCCATTGTGCTGTAGAGTAATGCAAATTTAAATTTTTTATAGACACTGAAATAAAAATTACTTTTTCAATATTGTTTACTTTTTATTGAAATATGAATATTTTAAGTACTGAGAAAATAATTATCTTTAGTAGATTATCTAATTTGTCTATTGCTAATATGTTTTCAAAATAGATGTATACAGGGTGCGTTTTGAAAGTAATGCGCACGATTTTATTGTGACGTGACTATCAATCGCAGCGCACTCAGATTGGTCTAAAAATGTGGTGGGGGATTTGTCCTTCCAAATACGCCTGGTCTCAGGTCGCTCTGAGTAGTAGGAGCGGTAGGACGTGTCTTTGCGCGAAGTCTTTTTTTCGATCGAGTCACAGCGTGATGGAGTGTTCGCTGGAAAGCGATAAAGTTTTGTGTGCGGTTTGGGAAGAATGCGACGGAAACTCATCACATGCTTCAACGCTCCTTTAAGGTGAAATGCATTTCGAGATCTCAGTGTGGAAGGTGGCACAAGGCCTTCAAGGAAGTTCGGGAGAAGGTCACCGACGAACCTCATTCTGGACGCCCAACAAGAGGCCGAACAGATGAAAACGTCCAGCGTGTGCGTGAAGTTTTGAAGTCAGATCGTCGGTTAAGCATTCAGGCAATCACCGACACCCTGAACTTGTCAAAATGTGTGGTACATGGGATTGTGATGGAGGATTTGCAAATCAGAAAGGTCTGTGCAAAGCTTGTGCCGAAGGTGTTGATGGAGGAGCAAAAACTACCTGACCCAAAGTAAGACCCCCTTGGTGCCCCTGCCTTCCTATTGCCCTCACTTGGCACCGTGTGACTTTTTTTTGTTCCTTTGACTGAAAAGAGAGCTGAAGAGAAGGCACTGGGAGTCGGTGGAGAACATCCAAGCTCATGTTACAAGGTTCCTGAGAGGCATTCCTGTCGAGGATTATTTCATCAAAAAACTTTATTCATCAAAAAAACAGCACATTTCTATCAGCTGCTTTAACTCTATATTAATTGCATGGACTTTATATTAATTGCATTTATAACTTTGCAACTATTTATGAGTAAGACTAGGAAGTAGGAAATAACAGTATAATTACATTTTTAGAAAGTGGTTCACTGTGATTTACTTTTCCTTAAATAAAATTTGTCTTGTACATTGCACCATATAAGTTTAACAGTACAATATACAACTCATATGTTTTGTGAATTATTAGATAATACATTTATAAGATTATTGTAATTAACTTGTCATTTAGGTATTTTTCAGTTACTTTCTCTTTGTGTGATACCACTTAAAATGTTGTGATTGACAAAGCATATTATTTATTTTATTTACAATAAACTGTTACGGTTATTTTTTTATTTTGACTATTTTTACTTACGTTTTCTAGAGGTTTGTTAAAAACTGTGTGGTTGTACATTTCATTAAGTTCTCAAATGTCTGATTATTGCCACTAGTTATTATAATTTTAAAAAAAATTACACAAATCGCGATAACTCTCCCAAAAATAAGCCCATCACAAATATGTTTTCAAATATGAGTTGATAAGTAAAACTGCAATATGTAGAATTGTAGTGCTGCAATGAAATGACGTAATTTTTAATGAACATAAAAATTTATGTCTGAATGCAAGCCTGCAAATTTTGCATTATTTTTAAAAATTAGAAATTTGAGATAGTCAATCTGTAACGATGACCTCAAGGGATCATTTGTGTGAAGAATTGTGATGGAGATCTAGTGCAAGAATAAAGGTAGGACAAAGTCAGAAGTGACCAGAGGGCTAAATGTGAATCTTTCTGTGGTTCCTAGTCTGTGGAAAAAATTTCTAACCTCAGGTTCGGCTTCCATAAGGTTCACCCAAGGATGGCCGAATATTACAACGAGCACTGATTACTGATATTTATTATGTTTACGAAGAAATATAAGCACAACTCTGAGTCTGCTCAAATCCTCCCTTAGTGCAGCCATCTAAAGATTGGTGTCAATGTCTACTATATGAAAAGGCTTCACAAATGCAGTTTTTTGCTGGGCAACTAGCCATTTGCGTGCCACTCTCGTCTTGCCATAAAAGGCAATTTATGAGGTGGCCACAACAAGTCCACTGCACATCTGACCAATTGAAGGCTGTTCTCTTCACAGATAAGTCCAGGTTTAGCCTCCAAAGTGATGGTAGGCATTGCTTGATTTGTAAAGAATCTGGAACCTAATATCATCCATCAAACATCTGTGTAAAAGATGCATACCAAGGAGGTGGTATCTCTTTGAGTAGACATACAGACCTGCATCTTATACCAAATGGAACTGTGAATGTTTACGTGCATAGAAATGACAAGCTTGATGTTTGTCTGCCTTTATGCTGGAACAATGGGTGATGATTTTGTGCTACAGTACAATATTGTGATGCTGTACATGGCTCACATCATGAATTATTATCTTCCGCAACAAACAAGTCAGTACATGGAGTGGCTAGCTCTATCACTGGACTTGAATTCTATCAAGCATGCTTGGGATGCTTTGGGAAGATGTGCATCTGCTCTCTATCCTCAGCCCCTTGTCGCACTTGCAATTGCTTTGCAAGAACAATGTCTGGCACTTCCATCGACACTGGTGAACAGCAAATTGCAAGCATCGCACATTACATTATGTGCTGTTTTGCTGCTAGAGGTGATCATACTCCATACTGAAGATACTTTTTCTATTTCAAACTGACGCATCTGATTTATTCATTTCATACATATACTAATTGCTGTAACACAATTGTCTGGTTAATACTTTTATGTTATTTTATACGTTATTACATGCACTATAATGTGTACCAGTTTTATTAAATTCTATGTGTAACTTTTTGAGTCATTGTCATTTTCAGGATTTTTTCTTAATTTATGATAACCAGTGTATCTTGTTTTTGTTTTGTCTTTTTTTCACATAAGCATAGTGAATGAACCAAATAATTTTTGAAGTGTTTCTTTGTTTACGCAAAATTATTTTATTCTTTGTAGTAAGAAATATTTATATTTATTTACTCATATTAAAGGAAGCCCAAGAAAATTATCAAAGGAAGATGGAGGAGTTGTCTACAGAAAACAGAAGAATTGACAAGCAAAATTCTGAATTACATAATGCTATTAAAAAGCAAATGCAACTTATTAATAATTTGAAACGACAAAAGGTAAAATTTCTATAATTATGTTCTTAAAGACTTTTTAGACTATATATGTTAAAACATTGTTAAATTTCATGATATTATATAATATTTTTTAAAATATGTCGGAATTTTATTTTTAAGAAAAGCTGCATTTATATAGATTGGTTTGTAAGGTGAAAGTTTAATTTCTAAGAAGTGTTGAACTGAGTTAGTTTCTCTACCTAATGCATTAAACACAAGAATTTTTTTTTCTTTTTAAAAAACTTATATTTTTATGTATAAACCGCATATGATTTTTTTTAAATGTTCAACAAGGACTGTAAGTTAGTCTTAATTTCACAAATTTTTTTGGAAAGGTTTCTATCTTAATAAATAGAGAAATGACTAATGAATAAATTGATAATTATAATTTTTTCAAATTAAGAAATTTCTGAACTTTTGACTATAGTTCTTTTCCATTCAGTCTTTCTTGATATTTTTAAACTAACTTATCAATGCAGACTTAATTTTTGGTTCTTACAAATAATATAAATTTTTATCAGGTTATATTATTACCAGCCGTAATTATGTTCTTACAAATGTGTGTCTATGTTTTTAACAATCACTACAGGACTTTTATAGAGATATTAAGATACTCATTAAGGAAAAATAAGGAAGCAAAATTTTTTATATTAAGACTCAGTGATTTGTAAATTAATTTGTAGCGATAATTTTATATAGGGTTTATCAAAAGTTTTAGAAAAACATTGATGAAATCAATGCACCATGAACATTATCATCAGCTTTTTGTTATTATAAAGATCTTACTTGTATTAACAAATATCCCTAAGAGTTCTTCAAAAACATTTTATTAAAAAGTTCTCTCTTATAATTATAATTGGATGTTCCCTATGGGATACAGCTTATAATCTTTGTAAAAGCTGTTGTTCCTTTGACAAATGTGTCTGATTTATTATTCTTGCTATTAAACAAATAAATTTGAATTCAATAATTATTTTTGTTTTATTTCCAAAAAAGCCATCTGATTTTCATAAAAATTAACACTTGATGAAAATGTTTGGCATTCCTTGCATTGTTTCAAACACTTTTTCTATAAGAGTATTTAATCTCTTGCTATCTTTTTCTACTAGATGCTTTCCATAATTTATAAATGCAAGTTTGAACGTTTAAATTATAAAAGAGCCATATAAAAATATCAAGTTTGCAGTTGTGCATTAAATTCAGTGGAGAATTCATTTGTGAAATAATTTATAGTTAAAATGAAATTTTAGCAGTTCTGTTGTTTTAGAATATTTAAAAGCTTTTTTTTTCTTAAATTAAAGATATCCCAAATAATCTTTTTTCTGTCAGAAAATCTTGACACATTTACAGGTGTTGGGCAGAGAGATTCTCTCCTGTCTTCGTTTTAATATTGTACTTGATCGTGATTCAAACATCAATTGCAGTGGTCACATTTTTACTAGATCAGTACAACTACTTGCATATGCTGATGATATTGATGTAATTGCTTGATCCCTTCCTGCCCTGAAAGAGGCATTCCTTGCCCTTAAGGTGGCTACAGGACAAATGAACTTAGTCATAAATGTAGAGAAAACAAAATATATGTTATTCTCAAGAAACAGAGTCCCAGACCCGTATCTTGAAATAGATTCTTATAGATGCTGCTTTTAAACTCACTGGGACAAGAAAGCGGGGAAGGCCGCGGTTGAGATGGGCTAACTTGGTGGAGTCTGATTTTCTTGCAATTAATAAAAAGAATTGGAGATCAAAGATAAATCAGAAGTCACTGTGGAGAAATTTTCATAGGAAGGCATTGGCCCACTTTGGGCTATCTGGCCAATTTTGATGATGGTGAAATACTCTTTTAGTAATTTTAATGAAGGAAGTAAAATATAAGAATATATAAATAAGAATACAAAAATGCACGAAGTAAGCCTGCCAAGCTATTCTGCTTATTGATATAGTAAAACTACTTTCATTTTATCTTTTAAAGCTGCTGCAGATTCACATGGCAAAGAGAGATTTTTAATGGCACATTCAAAATAGTAACAACAAAATTAATCTGCCATTTTTTTCTGCTGGTTGTTAGATTTAATTTGTATTTTACAGATGCATGTTGAAGCTGCTACAGCTGTGCAGTTTTCAGAAGATGAGTTTATGAAAGCCCTTGATCGAGGTACCTGAGGTATAGCAAATTTAAAAAAAAAATAACAATGTAGAAAGTTTGTTTATACCTGGATATTATATGAGTGCCTTCTTTGTATGTGTGTATCCCTTTATAATTGTTTCTTCTCATGTTATGAAAATGAATATATGTTCAAATATAGTTATGGGCTTTAGTTTGTATATAACAAAATCTATACATAAATACAGATATCCGTTATATTTTATAAGATAGTATTCTTAATATATATGAAAAATCCTGCAATATGATGTATATATTTTCACTTATGATTCTTGTGTGTAAAACAATTATTTAACTGAAAAAATAGTGCATTACTTACATGAACCTGAGTTTGAGAAAAACTAAACCAAATTACTAAAATTTCGGCAAAATTTTCTTTACATCTCCTGCAATTCTGAAGCTTTAAAATTGAAGTGAAAGAAAAAAATATATTTTAAAAATTTTCCTATGTTTTTTGTGATTTTTTATTACAAATTATCTGTATAAGGAAAGAATAGCTCATTTACCATGTGGTTTTTAGTATTATGTGTTGTTTTATTTTTTTAAATTACTTTAGTAAACCAAATCTTGTATGATTTTACTTGTCTGTTAAAGAAGTTATTTTTACGATATTTTTCTTTATATTTTTAAATCAAATAGAGATAATTTTTCTAAACATGTTCATTTTTAAAATTTATTTTTCCTAATATCTTTGAAATGATTGTAGTTTGAAAATCTCTTTTTTTTAAGAAATCACATCTTGTTTACGATGCACTGCACCAGTTCAGTGTTTCTCAATTTTTTTTACTAGCAGCATACTTTATTTTTATGTGACATATGTCATTTTAACATTTTAATTATAAAAAAGTACTATTTTTAATTGTTTAATGGTTTTTCTTTACCTTATTTGTTTGTAAAGAAATATACTCAAATTATGTATTTTGTATAATTGTAATGTATGTTAAACAGTCTAATTAAATATGTGCATTAATATAGCTATATGCAATTTTTAAACTAGTGATAATAATTATAGAAAAATACCATATGTAAATATATCTTATATACAATAATTTAGTATAACTATTCAATTTTAAGTTATGAATTATATAATTGAAAAAATTCCAACGTAGGGTTTAAAATAATCCAGATTATGTTAATTTAATGCTGGTTAGGATAATAGAATGATTTTCAAATTTGTGGCATTTTTTAGACTGATTGATTTAAAAATAATCATTGTTGGTGATTAATATGGATTATTGAATATGACTTACACATGTAATAATGGTCAGCATCAATGTTGAATTAAAATGTAGACCGGTGGGAATTTCATAGGTCATCATTAAAACGAAAAATACACGAACAGTTAACAGACTAGATAATTTTACATAATTTTTATTTACAACTATGTGTAATCATTTTTGGTTTAAGACATTAGTAAGCTTAAGTATGGTACACTGACTTACTTTGTATATGACAAGCAGTTAATAAAGCTTCATTAATTAACTTTAAAAAAGTAGTAACAAATCCAGACAACATAAAAAAAATGCTCACCTTTTTAAAAATCCCAAAAAATATTTACAAATAATCTTTCAGCTCAGGAGTGTCTTTCAAAATGATTATTTTTACATACTGAACCGTGACAGCCTTGTTTAAAAGTTGCTGCAGCATCTGAGTAATCTCTGGTAACAGACCTGATACTTCTCTTGGACAACACAAAACAATATGAACAAAAAAAACTTGTAAAGAAATTCAAAGATATCTTCTAGATTTATTATAAAAGGAATTTTTTGAAATTCATAATTACTTTGAAGTTATTTTACATGTTGGAAAATGAAAAATCAATTTGACTTAGTCGGTTTGGGCAGCCAATTTGCTCTTACAAAGGAAGTATAAATCTGAAAAATTTCTATTGAAATTGAATCAAGTTTAAATTAAAGAGCATGGTCGAAAATATATGATGGGATAAAAATATGTCAATATTCTTCAAAGTTTTAACTTATTGAATAGTAAAAAAAGTGTTCCTGACTAAACATTTCAGTCATCCGACTCATACCTGAAAGATCGCTGGTTCTATCCCAGTTGATGTTAATTTTTTATTTTCATTTCTTCATACTGAAAGATGTGTTTTTTTTAAATTTAAGCCATAGATATTAAAAAAAGATACTCATTTATTTTAGTAACTATTTAAAAAAAATTTTATTAATTTTAATTGGCATCTTATTCTTATAAACTAAATAGGAATTTTCTCTTCCACTTGAATAATTTATTGTTTTGAATAACAAAGTTTTTTCCATTAAAAAAAAAATCAAATATTTCATAAAATTTAAAATTTTTTTCATAAATTTTTATTTATATTACAAAAAATAAATATTTTTGGCTAAGAAAACTTATTTTATTAAAAAAGTAGTTTTCTAATAATAAATTTAAGCTAATAAATTAGGCTAATTCATAATTTTTTTAAAAAAGAAATCATGTAGTCCAATTCAAAAAGTAAAATTAAACATTTTTAATTTAAGAAAGTGAAAATTTGTCACGAAAATATATAGATTTTCAGTCTGTAATTCAAAATAATAAAACAATATCACATTTTTCATATGAAAATTAAAAATTGACATCAGCTGGGACAGAACCTTTCTCAGATAGGAGTCAGATGCCTCAACCATTCAGCCAAGAATACTCTTTCTACTTGTCATTTTTATTTTTAATCTTAATTTTAAATAAGGTAAAACTTTGAAGGGTCACATCTTGACCCAGAGGCATCAGTGTGACAAATTTTTACTCTATACTAAGTTTTTGACTACGTTTTATAGTTTAAACATGGTTTCATTTCAATAGGAGTTTTATATCGACAAATAGGCAAATTTATATTGACAAGAGTGTACTTCCTTTGTTAAAAATTTCTAGAAAATAAAAAGTTTTACAAATTGATATGATATTGTACATTATAATTTTTAATCATATTAATTTTTGGAAATCATAAATGTTTACACCAACAAACAATTAAATTTCGTAGTAAAATACAGTTTGTTGGACATAAAGAATGCCTGAAATTTGAAATTTACCAACAACTATCCTTTGTTCTCTTTTTTTCTTACATTTCAAACAACCTGAACTATTTCAGATAAACCTATTTGATTTAAAAATTAGTTGTAAAAATTTGGTATTAATTTCATGATTTATTGAAATTTTCTTTACAAAATTTGAGGAATGTTGACTGAATCTAAATATAATCATTGTTATTATAAATTCCTTATGTATTATTTCAAAATAATCGTACTTTTTAATCATACCCACTCATATTTTTTAATACCTTATGGAAGTGAAAATATGTATCTGAAATTCAAGTATAAAGTTATGCTACATTTATGATCTGACATGTTTAGGATATATCATAAGCTGTGATGTATCATATTAGTGTGTTGCAACATAGCAGTTGAGAAACACTGTACTAAAAAGATACATTTTGAGAATTTTTTATCTTAACCCATTAATGAATAAGTCCGAATTTTTCAATAATAGTTTGCATATTGATTTAAACTATGACACATTTTAAATAGTTGAAAAATCCTTAAAATTTAGGAACATGATGCATAATGACATAAAACTATCAAAATTTAAAATTATGTGATACTCCAATTAAGAGTACTATTACAATTGTTAATACAAATTAAATTGTAAATACATGAACACTCTTGTTCTAAACTCTGCAAAAACTATTTTCAAGACGCATTTAAAATAAAAAATTCTCAACTGAATAGTTAATAAAGGGGAGAGGGGCTAGTGTTGATAAATGGAATATTTCTATTATTTGTCTCTCAAAAAAATCTCTGTAAATTATAGTTGATTGGCAAAACTGTATTACACTTTTTATATATAGTTTCAAGACAAAACACTAAATAGTTATGAAGTGATTAGATAAGGTTTTTAATGTTAAATTCTTATTTTTTGCTTTAATTGCAACTTTAGACTATTTTTATTGATTGTTTTTATAAATAAGAGTTATGATATAAATGAATATGCTAATTTTATATTTTAAGAGTCAACTTTTGATTTACCTTTATTTAATTACCAAATTATGAGCTTAAAAAACCTTATGATTACATGGGACTAGTGTGGACATGCCAAGATTAACAAAGTCTTTGAGTGATAAACTTATTTTAATGCTAGCAGGAATTTCCCTTTTTAAGATATCATTTTAATGTAGAGATCTAAATACTTTCAATTCTCGTGGTGATTTATTTTTAATACCCAATAACATATACTAGTGATCACAAATTTATTAAATAGTAAAATTTTGTATAATTTTTGCTGCCGCTATTAAAAGTTCTCAAAAAACTGTGAACAACCCTGATATAACATTGACATATTTCTAGAAGAGAAAATCATATATTCCTACTATATTTATAGTACTAGTGTAATAGCAATTAAAGTTAGCAAATTTTGTTTAATTTAGCCAATCCTTTGAAAACTTTCTAGCACTATCATCATGTATTTGTTTAAATTGTTTAAATATTCATTGTCATAATCAACTTTAATCATTGTAAAATCAACTTTATTAGACCATAAATGAAGCTTTAAATTGTAACATTTGCTACCGCTTTAAATATTCAAGAATGGCTTTCGCTAAAATGGGAGAAATTTTAATGTAAGTAATTATTAGGCTTAAATATTAATTCTTATAAGGCTTAAGATAATTTCTAGATTTAATTTTTAGGCAAATTAGTTCTATTTTGATTTTACTTCTTTTTTTTATATTTTTATTAGTAACAATAGATTAATAGACTTATCTATACTAGTATGACTTATCTTGACATGTATACAATAGTCCCATGCTGTAGGGCTTGTGTGAGCAAAAACAACTTAAAAAAAAAAGACTTATTCTCAAAATCAAGATCTAATTTCAATTAAAGTACAAGAAATGATTTATGAGTTTTTTCTTAAAATTTGTAAAAACTGTCCATGCCAACCCTCCTTTCCCCTACCATAGTTGATAACATTTAAAAGAAACAATTATTTGAAAATAATTTGTTAAATAAATAATTCTTTGAACTTACAATTTAATTTTAGAAGCATCTATAAAAAATATGTGCACTAATGTGTTTTTTCCTGCAAAACTATGGGCTGATTAATAAATAAAATAATCTTGTTCATCAAAATATCTCATTGGATATATATTTCTATAAAATTGAGTATTGTGTTTACTAATATTTTGCTTATAATTTTATGAATTACTGAATGAGATGATCTTCCATTTCTCTTTTTACTAATTTTGAACTTATTTCTTCCAAAATTCAATTTAACTTCCAGGTTTAATATTTACTGTTTTTCTTCCATCCAAAAAAATTCTTCCATTTCCAAAAATAGTTTCACTTCCTTTTTTAATATTTTGGGCATACTTCCATGACTAAAAAAATTTCTTCCTATTAAGTGAAAATTGATTAGTTATTTTTGGGAAGAAATTTAAGGAGTTAACATGTTGATATGTTTCAGGACATTATTTTAGATACAGTTTTAAATAGTCTTGGAAAAATAAAGCTTTATACTTTTTGAACTTGGATCTAATTAAAGGACATTACTAAGTGTTACTTCTTCATGTACATAGCATTAAAAAGATATTGTCTTAATTAACTAAAATGATAATCTTTTTTGACATCAAGTTTACCCATAGTCTTACAATCCAGTAAAATATTTCACAAAATGAAAATGATGTCATGTTAAATTAATGTTTTCTTTATTTCTACTAAGAACTTACAAAACTCTAAATCTTGTATATTCAAGCTAAGCCATGTCAAATCAATAATTTGATTGAGATACTTATTGCAAAATATTGTAAATTTCTATTTCTTATTTGTGAAAATGTTATATTCATCCGTATGTTTATTATTTATTTGAAAATTACCTTATCTTTAAATATTGACAAATTAATTTCTATTTGATTAATGTGATTTCTAGTAATTGTTCGAAATTACTCATTAATATTTATACGGAATGTATTCTACAAAAACATATTTTAAAATAATTTTTATGCTGATTAAAAAGACTTAATAAATTTAAACTTTTATTTATAATAAGAAAAACCTACATTTATTTTTCCTAGTGGTTAAGACAGAAAGATGGGATGATGGGAGTGGTTTCTTTTTTGAATAAGTATAATTTTCAGATAATTTATTTAGTGAAAAGTTAAATATGCTATATTCTAGCATTCTGGTGAAGCCTTTTAATTTTCAAAAAATTGGCATACGGTGGGATACATTGTAGAATAGGATTGTTTAGCTGCTGTGTTTTTAGTTTAATGCAGAGACATATCTAACAATTCATTTAATTAGTAATAGCCATTCTTGCCATAGTAGTAAGTATTAAACCATATCAGTAAGGAAATTATGTTGGCATTATTTGAGACTTTTCAGCAACTGACTCATCTCAATTTTTTTACAGCCTTGTTCTCGTGATTTGAGCATTGTAACTTTTTTTTGTGGGATATTTAAAGGATAAAATTTTCTTGAAGATTGAAGCTTAATAGATTATCTGAAAATACCATTATTCAAAGAAAATAAAGAAGTTAATATTAGTTGCTAAGACATACATCAGCAATGAATACTTGGTTGCTTAACATGGTTGAGTTATTTTTTAAATAAAATTTTTTATTAACAAGGACACTTGGGAGATATACTTACGGATAATATTTGGTATATTAGTATTTCCTTATGGGTATTAACCCTTTGAAATAATAAAGCACACTAGGCAGCTGATTTCAAGAAAAACTAATTTTAAGATTTAAGCATTTACAAAAGGTGGTTATTATAATTAAGTTAGATTTTAAAGTGATTCTTCCAAAATGTATTGGTCTTAACAACTTCTGACATTTATTT